GGCACAACACACCGCAACCGCAAAAAAAAAAAAAAAAAAAAAAAAAAAAAAAAAAAACTGGAAGCTGCAACGAGTGTCAGTTCGGAGTATGTTTCGCCTCTAGTAACATAAACCTGGCCCACAGCAGCTTCAGCACATAGGGGAGTTCTTATTTTTTCATGAAGAAGAGGTGTTCAGAGGGAGGTGGTGACTCCCAGGGGTTCCACGAATCCAGCACTCTCTGGGCTCAGGCTCTTGCAGTCTTTCGGCTCCACCTTCCTTGGTAGTTTGGTAGCTGTCCTCATTGCTGTTGGCTATGAGCTGTATACCTGTGCTCAAGGCAGAAACGGGGAGGGACAGGGCCTTGGATGCATCTGTTCCCTAGATTAGGAAAGCAAAAGCTTTTCTAGAATCCCCCTCCGTATGCTTCCACTTCAGAGTCACTGGCTAGAACTATGTCACGTGCCTACTCCTAGCTAGCTGCAAGGGAGGCAAGGAAACGGGATATTTTTCAGCTCACCTCTGTGATAGACAAAATGGAAGATGGGCTTGGAAATGAGTGTGTGAGCTAATATAGTGTCCATCAAAAAGCCACAGAGAGGGACCAGCAGTTGGCATAATGGCTTTGCCACTGGACTCTCATGTAGTCAACCGTGGTTCAAGTCCCAGATCCAGTGGCTTAAACTCACACCGGGCACGTGTGCATGCGTGCCCAAGATCCCGAGAGGAGAATGGAGGAGAAGGGATTGTGGCGTGGTCATTCCCTCTGGGGGGTGATTTCTCGCTCTCTGTCTCTCTCTCTCTCTGTCTTTCTGGCGAGCGCACATGCCCTGTATCAAAAAGCCCCCCCCCCCAAAAAAAAAAAAAAAAAAAAAAGCCACAGAAAAACTCTTCTCCAGTACTTTCATTGTACAGATGATAAAAATGAGTTCCAGAAATAGGAAGTAACTTGGGTAAGGTTTCCTAACTATTGAGTTGTTAGGAAAGTCTTGACACGTTTTGGCATAGAAAAAAATATGTCATGCCTTTCCCGATAACCTAATAGCTAAAATTAAAGTCAGACCTAGAGCCCAGGTCTCCCAGTCCTACTCTGTCACCCAGCAGTTATCACCCAGCAGTTGAGTTGTTGGTCATTAACTAATCAGCAGTGGGTAGAGGGCGTACAGCTCCCACTTGAGTCCTCCCTCCTCCCTTCTTCCCTTCCTGCCTTCCTTCCTTCCTAAGAATCTGAAGGTATTTCTCGAGACCCACAGAAGCTAGGCCGAGGGAAACCAGGCCTCCTCCTTGTTCCCTTCCACCGTGTAGACTTTGATCCCCCTCCTTCGGCACATGGCTGTCTGTGTGTGTTGCTGTAGGTCGATCTCATGAAGACGCGTGCCGTGGCGGTGTAGGATTTCCGTGTCGTTGTTAATGTGCTGTTCTTGTCTTCTGTCCCCTTCTGTTACTGGGTCAAACAGAAGTACTCTGCTGTCTCTCTCTGCAACATCTCCACAGAAGTCCTGAAAGTCATCAATGCCACCGAGGAGCTGATCGCAGAATCGACAGGGCCCTGGGAGTCCCCTCCGGTCCCTCCTGACAGAGAGAAGGGGACGTTTCCCCTTGGGACAGACCAAGTGAGACTGGATGAGCAGCTGACTTCCCTGGAGGAAAACGTAAGAGGGCGTGGGTGTGTCCTGTCGAGGACGGATATGTGTGACTAATATGCTGATGAAATTGTCATTCATTACAAGGAGGGGACACACACACACACACCCCTACACACACCAGTACATACACACATACATACCCCACCACCACCGCTGCCATCATCATCTTGCCAAATATATTCTCAGGAAGGGTCTTCGGCTGGGTTTCCCAGAAGCGGTCCCTGAGGTGAGGATTTATGTGCAAGTGACCTATTGGGAAGAGCTCCCAAGAAGGGTTCTAAGGAGAAGGGGTGAGGCCGGCCCTGTGGCCTGTGGTTAAGGAGGAGTCAGATCCAACATGGCTAATCATGGTTCAAATTCTGGCCCTGGAGGTTTGAAACACACACCAGGCATGTGCGTGCGTGTCCAAAATCCCAACAGGATGGGAAAATGGAAAAGGGTTTGAGTCATGACCATGCCACAATGGGGGAGTTCTCTCTCTCTCTCCTCTCTCTCTTCTCTCTCTCTCTCTCACATGTGCAAGCATATGTGCCCTATGGTAGTTTAGGAAAACAAAACAAAACAAAAAACAGGGAAGGAGGAGAGCAAAGGAAAGGAAGAGTCCGAACAAGGCCATGATCTCCCACACACAGTGGCTCCAGCCTGGTCCTGCAGGGCCCTCTGGGTATGAGCTGCATCCCAGCGCCATGCTGACTTAAAGCGGAGGCACCACACAGCCAGCAGGCCCTTCAGTCTCTCTGCCCACAGGCAAAGGGTCTGCAGTAGCCGAAGGCGCTTCTCTGAACGGATGTGAGCTGTTGGGAACAAACGTGCAGAGAAGCATGGTGGGAAGGGAGCCATGTCTACAGAAACTATGGCAGAGATCCCAAGGGTCACGGTGGAGTATGGCCGGTGCCATGGCAGGGAAGGAGAGTGGCTGCTGAAATAACTTAAGTCGTCACAGCTGGTCTGCCCTGCCCCTCTAACTGAGAGACCCACCCCATCTTACATCCTTGTTCCCAATAGGCCCAGCCTCCCGCTGCCATTGGCTGCAGGAAGACCTCTGTTTCTCCTGAGGTCTCCACCGCTCCACCTCATAATCGCCCAGGCGCTCTTGGGATGAAGACCCTATTGCATTACCTGCATGACCTCGTGACCACACCAAGCCCCAGATTTTGCCATCACCCCTCCTTCATATTCCTCTCCTTTCCCCCCACAAGGATGCAAACCAGCCAGTGCTCATGGACCTGGCTGTGCACAAGGAAAATGTTCACTGTTAAGTACATTTAGCATTGCATTTCCTCACTGGGAAAAGAATATTTAGCACAATGCTTGACACAAAATAAGTACCCAGTAAACGCTAGGTATGCCTACCAGTATTTGATAGGCATGTCACCAGCCAACTCCTAAAATGATCCCATTAAATATACGCTGAAGAATGAGTTCACTCACGTGATTCACCGCCATTAAATGGGCATTTTTTTTGAGAGAGAAATTTTTGCTGTAGGTTACATGTGCTCACCAGAGAGACAGAGAGAAACAGAGAGACAGAAAGCGAGAAATCACCCCCCAGGGGGATGGCCACATCGCAGTCCCTTCTCCTCCATTCTCCTCTTGGGATCTTGGACACACATGCGCATGTGCTTGGCGTGAATTTTAAGTTACCAGGTCTTGGACTCGAACCATGGTCGACTACGTGGGAGTCCAACGACATAACCATTACGCCATCTGCTGGTCCCTCAAGCAGCACTATTAATGTTTCGGTTACATCGTCCTTTGCACGGGGTTGACCCGTCAGATGTTTAGCAACATCGTGGTCTCTGCACACTACGCCAGGAGCAGCCCTTATCGTTAGGAGGATCCAAACCGTCTCCAGATGGTGTCACCTGGGGTGGCTGAAGGGGTCACTGTGCACCCCAGGCTGAGACATTCTAGAAATTTCTAGATATAGAAATTCCGGCAAAACAAGGCCTCGTATCCTTCATGTCAGTCACTTCAATGCTCAGCCCAGCAGAGGAAGTGCTCAGCACGTCTATACTTAACGTGTGATAACATCGGATGAATGAAGCCCCCTCTCTTTTTTCTTTTTAATTTACTATAGGGCATGTGTGCTCACCAGAGAGAGGCAGAGGGAGAGGGAGAGAGAAGTGAGAAAGCACCCACAGGGGGGATGGCCACACACAAACCCTTCCCCTCTACTCTCTTCTCAGGATGTTGGGTGTGCTCAGCTTGTTTTTTGAAATGCCTATTTGGGACTTGAACCACCCAGTCAGCCATGTGGGATCAAGCTGCCTTAACCACCACGCCACCTTGGTGGCCCACCTCCACCCCCTTTTTTTTTAGAGACAAGGTTTTACCATATTACCCATGCTGGCCAAGAACTCCTGCATCTTCTGCCCTAGTCTTCCAAATAGCTGGGATTTTTTTTTTTTTTTTTTTGAGAGGTGTTTTTTTGGTTGTTTGTTTGGTTGGTTTTTGCTATAGGGTACATGCGCTTGCCAGAAAGAGAGAGACAGAGAGACTGAAAGTGATAAATCACCTCCCGGGGGGATGGCCATGCCGCAATCCCTTCTCCTCCATTCTCCTCTCAGGATCTTGGGCACGCACGCACACGCACCCAGCGTGAGTTTAAGCCACTGGGTCCAAGACTCAAACCGCCATCGACTACATGGGAATTCAGCGACACAGCCATTACGCTAACTGCTGGTCCCCCAAATAGCTGGGATTTTAAGCCCACACCACTACACCTGACTCGAAGTCCTTTTGTTTTACTGTAGGTTGCATGTGCTCGCCAGAGAGAAAAAGAGAGACAGAAAGCAAAAAATCACTCATGTTTTAGTTCTGATGTGCAGGAGCTCTGTTACTTAAATGTGTCTGTGGGACCAGCAGATGGTGTAATGGTTATGTCGTTGTACTCCCACATGGCAGACCATAGTTCAAGCCCTAGACTCAGCAGCTTAAAGTTCATGCCAGGTGTGTGTGCATACGTGCACAAAATCCCAAGAGGAGAATGGAGATGGGATTGCGGTGTGGCTACCCCTCGGGGGGTAATTTCTTGCTTCTGTCTCTCTGCAAGCACATGTACCCTATACTCAAAGAATCTCTCTTTTTTTAAATAATGAATTTAATTGTCTCTCTGCAAGCACATGTACCCTATTCTCAAAGAATCTCTTTTTATAAATAATGAATTTAATTAACTTTGTTTATGAATATATTTATTTTAATTTGACCAGAGAGGGACAGAGTGAGAGAGAGGGAAAGTGAGAAAGCAAGCTGCCAAGTCCAGGACTTGAACCATGGTCGGCCATGTGGGAGTCCAGCGCCCTTAACCACCACGCCACCTGCCAGCCCCCAAAAATCTCTCTTAAAAAAAAAATGGATCTGTAACGCAGTTCCTTCATTGCTGATGGTCCTCAAATGGCCCTGACCCTGGCCACACAGAATTTAAAAGTTTAAAGGTATGGTTCACTAGGAAAAGAATATATTTTTACAGAGTACAATATCAAAAAGAAAAAAAAAAAAACAATGCATGAAAGCCCAGATTTAACTGAAAATAGTTGATGGCACATTAAAAGCAAAGGCATCTGCCATTTTTTTCCCCCCTCCAAAGAGTATTTTTGAAAAATGTGAGTTTTAGCTTTGTAAGACCATTTTAGTGAGTGTTATTTTTCTTTTCTCGGGCTCACTAGCACTTTTGATTCAAGCACTTTCATTTATACACTGATTTAAGATGCGGATGCCCAGGAGGAGCGCAGGGCTGGAAGGCTGGGGTTTGTAGGGGAGCACGCCCTGCCCTGTCGAGCCCCGCTCATGCCTCTCCTGCTCCCGAAGAGTTAACCTCCTTCTGCCTCCTCTCCTCCTTCCCACCCCCAGCTTTTCAGATTTCACCTCAGGAGATGCTCTGTCATGTTCCTTTGCGTTCTGTGGGACTCAGGATCAGAGAAGGGATGACTGCTCTTCCTGCTCTGAATCACCAGATCCTAGCCTAGCGTGTAGCTCGCACTGCTCTTTCCAGAACGCAATTCAGCGAATTCTGCTGAGCCCTGGAGAGAGGCCGGAGCTGGCTCTTAAACTGGCCTCCGGGCCCAGCTGATGGAATCGGGTTGTGGCTTTTGTCAGCCTGTGTTACCAAGGACACGCCTTCATTCCTCAGCGGCCTCTCCTTTGTGCTGGGGACCCAGGGACTGTCAGGAATAGAAAAGGCAATGCTGTCCTGGGGAATCTTTGGCTGAGAATGTTAACCTTTGAAAATCCTTCTGGAGGTTTCAGAGCTACAAGAGATAAAACAAAGGCGCACCTTACCTATGGGATCTCCTGTTTCCCCGAACGGCCTTGTGCCCATGTAGTTGGGGGGGCATGGGGATTTTAGAGTCCCCTGGTCTCCCAGCTCTGACGCATCTCACCTGCTGCTGGGGGATGACACCGTAAACTTGGCTCTTGCTTCACCTAAACGCAGGCACAACCTCAGCTCATCTCAGCATCCTCAGCAGCACACAGTGGGGCTACTCGGAAGGCCGTGTCTCTGGCTACATTAAGCTCTTGCTGAAGAGTCCTACTGTCTCTGGGACCAGCAGTTAGCATAATGGCTATGTCGCTGGACTCCCATATAGTCAGTCGACCACGGTTCACGTCCCGGACCCAGTGGCTTAAAACTCACACCGGGCACGTGTGTGTGCGTGCTCAAGATCCCGAGAGGAGAATGGAGAAGGGATTGCGGTATGGCCATCCCCCCTGGGGGGTGATTTCTCTCTTTCTGTCTCTCTGTCTCTCTCTGTCTGTCTGGTGAGCACACGCACCCTATAGCAAAAACCTCAAAAAAAAAATAAATAAATAAAGAGTCCTACTGTTTCTGTGGGGTCTGGCTAGGAAGGAGTTTCATGAAGGGTAGTAACTGAAGTATGGGTCAGGCTGAGGACTGCAGGGCACTGCAAGTTGTAACAGGGAGAAGCAGTTACCACTCCTACAAAACGGGGCCAGGGCCCAGGAAGGACTAGAGGCTGGAGGATAGCCCCACGGGGAAAGCCATA